AAAACAATGCTATTTATTGCTTTTTATAAAGAAATACAATTAATATTATGCAAAATTGAGTTCAGCCTTTTGGCCCGGCCCTCCACAATATTTTTGCTTCTCATGTGGCCCCATGGAAAAAATAATTGCCCACCCCTGGATTAGACTAATTTTACATTATATGAATATCCTCATTAAGATTGACGGTTTACTGTAGCTACCAAAGAGTCATTCAAGGAACGGTTTGATTTCAAGAAGCACTCAGCAATTTCACCTATTGACTGTGCATATCAGCCTCCACAGTTGGCCATAACTGACTGATCATGGTCACAACTGTCTCAGGGTCTGTAAATGACAGGTATTGCAGGCACATACAGTCCTCCCAGTCCAGAACAGACTGGTCCTGGAACAGCCCTCTCTCTGCCAGCTTCATCACCAGCAGGGCCCGTTTGATTGAGAGCCAGTTGTAAACAGCCGTGGTCATGGAGCCTCTGTGATTGAAGAGCGGGACATGAGGGCCCCAGAGCAGCACCTGAAGCATGGCCACCACTTTGGCTATCTGGGGCCCACTGCTCTCATTCTGGAGTACAGAGCACAGATAAAGAAGTCCCCTATGGTACAAGGATGTCGGGTTCTCTTGTGGGGGCAGGCAGTATTGAATTAAGGCTCTAATTTGGGATTTGATGGAGAGAATGTGGTGAGGTGCGGACAGAGTAGAGGACTGCAGGGTTAATACCACACGAGCAGAACCATGCATCCTCCACAACATCTGGACCCTCCCTTTTTTCTCTGTCTTTTCCCACTCCATTTCTTTTTTTGATCTGCTTGTCTTCAAACCTCTCTTCCACTCAAAAGATTCCTCCTCTAGCTTATTTTCTCCCTTGTGCTTCTCCCTGCTGGGCCACACTAGGAGTATGTCCCGGGGTCTGAGCTCAGCTGCACTGGCAGCAGTGTTGTACAGATGCTGTGTACCCATTAAAATCTGCAGCAACAAAATGCATACCTGTCTGTCATAAACCAAACCCTCTGTGCATTGTAGTGAGTTGCTATCCTGAACAAAGTCCTCCAGAGTGACACATGGCAGGTCTCTCTCAATGCTTACACGGTGTCCCTTCTGGAGTAAAGACTGAACTGAAGGCAGAGTGATGGTGTCCTCAGTGTTGTCTCCACCTGGTGGCTTAGGAGCAGTGCGGCAGGGATCTTGACTTTGGGAAGTGATGGCATCACTCCACAGGATGTTGCTGGGTTGAAAATGAACAATAACATCTTGTACATTAACATGTGATGAATGGTGATCAGTATGAGCTGAGGGAGCTTCATCACTCTCTTTGCATATCTGCACAAAAAGCAAAAGAAAAAAACTAAGTCATAATAAGAAAAACCCTTGCACTGCAAAATAGTGTTAAATAACTATTTTGGGTGTTCCTCTTGCAGTTGTGACACTTGATGACAGTTTAGAGGAAGTCTTTATTACCACAAGTCAGTGTCACAGTTGCCACTACTGATAACGATCATATTTGTTATACTGGTTGCTGTGCAACATGCATAGCAATTTATTTCATGCACAATTTCAAGTGTAGCAACTACTGATCCTGCAGACAAGCATGTAGAACATGTTGCAAAGTATGTGGAGAAGAGAGCTGTAGCATTACCCTCAAACCAAGCACCCTCCCTGGGAACTTGGGACTGTGTAGGCTGTAATAAACCGTGTCTCCAATCTGCTTTGGCTTGCAGCCCTCACACAGCAGGAAATCCTGAGGTTGGTATGAGCTGATGCCCCTCTCTGTGGTCTCTTTTTGAAGCAGGATCTCGGCCTCCAGGCTCTGCGCCATACTTCTCAGAAAGAGTAGATGACGATGCTGAATCCCCTGAGAAACAACCCGCTGGTTGTCAAAATGGCTGAAAAGGTAAGGCAGATGTTCATCTGGGGTGTCAAAGGACAGCTGGGAGAAGGGCAGCAGGGGGACGGTACTTGTATCTGGTTTAAAATCTTCTGTCTCCTCATGGAAATAGGTGTCAGGTATTGGTCCCAGCATGTACACGGGGTTGTCAAAGTGTTGAGGGTGCCTTTGCCGGGGAGACAGAGGAGAGTGTGGAGGCACACTGGTGCCAGGGAGGGAGAGGGTGCGAGCTAAGCTCTTCTTTGGAACAGGCGGCGGGGTGCCATCGGAGAAAAATCTCACTTGGTGTTGGGAAGGATCTGAGCAACACAATGAGAGGTATTAAGGTCAGACTTGAACAGAGGCAACAGTTTGGACACAGCATCTCTAATCTGCATCCACAGTGGAGACACCCTTCCAAAAGCAGTTCTGCCAGTCATGCTAAGCTATCTACATAAGACATGTGTTTTACTGACAGCGAAAGTCTCACACAAGTCCTTCTTCTCTTTCAGTTCCCACAAACTGAGAGATGAATTGAGAAGACATTATTGTGTTTTGTATTTTTTCCCATCACAATGAGCTGTACACGTCAATTCTGTTTTTGGACTTGGAGGAACAAACAACGTGAAGGCATGTGCTAAGTTATGTGACATTTAACTGACTTGTTTTTTTTTTTTATATGTAACTGTTTTCACTTAAGTTCACTTAAGCATTCTGTAAACCTACCATAGCGCTGGTGTATGGGGCACTGGGCAGCATAACAGTCGGTGGGTTCAGGGAAGACATCATTGTATGTGTAGTTTTGATGCTGGAGTTGAACAGGGCTGAGCGAAACAGAGTCAGACTCCACACTGGAGCGACTGAAGGAATGACTTCTGTGTAAGAAAATGCACAGAATAACACAACACTTCTATCATGAATATATGCATTAGCAGGCTGCAACTAATCTGCAATAAAACCTTTGAATCTGCATTTGCATCTCTAAAGGTTTGAGAAAGACAGCATTTTACATGTAAGTACATGCATTGCAAAATACTTAATACAGTTAAATAAGCTGTGCAAACAGCCCTGCATCCTAATTAATCATTTTTTTATATACGTATTTTGTGATTAGGATTAATGATAATAAAAACCCAGTGAGAACAGCAGAAACATCTGCTGAGGTTGACAAGAGACAGACAAAACATATTGTTTGTTGGCCTTACCTGTGCTGTTTGGCAGGCAGAGCCGGTGTCTGTCCTTCCATTCTGCTGGCAGAAACAGACGCCGTCAGAAATCTACAAAGTTACTCTTGACCTGCGCCTCCACCCCTGACACACTTCACTGCTGTGACAGAATACTGTGTAAGTGAAGCATGCAGGTGACTAACTCACTTTCACATTGAAGGATTTCCTGTCTGTCTCGGTGATTCTTCTGACATATTTTCTGCAACTTTTTCTCTTTTCAGAGTGGTTGCACGTTTTTTTTTTTTGCTCAGTTTATCTTATGTTCTAATCGTTTTTTAGTCTGAGCTTGAGGTTGGTAGCGGAAGAGTAGTGTCTGTTATGAGGGCAAAGCTGTTCTCTGAGCTAACCTCAACTTGACAGAACAGGGAAGAGCAGTTATGACAACTTTTTTAGGTTGTACTTTTTTCTCTTCTTACTCTATGTAGTAGTTGATCTACATTTATCATGTGAAGCCTCAGCATGGACTTCTATCTTTTGGATGATGCAGTTTGAACCTTTACACATGTAATTATATATTCATGGCTCAGTGCTTGAATATATATGGGAGCTTTAGCTTTCACTGACTTTAAAGGGAAAGTAAAAAAAACATTTAAGCAGATCAAGACAGAGATACTTTATTGTGCCCATGTCTTGTACAGCATAAACGTTCTGGGCAAATATACTGTATGAAGACTGACAACTTCACTCAGTGGATGTAAACACTGTATGTCCTATAAAAGATACAAAGAACACTTTTAGGTAGCTATTTATTTGTAAGCTATTTATCTGTGAAGTGCATTTGCCAAGCAAATAAGCAGACAGACTGTGAAATGAAATTAGATTAAATGTGAGAATTGGGCCAGATAATTCATATAAAGATTTATCTTTGAACAAGCATAATGTTTCTTTCCTGTGTTATTCAAAACCCAAAAGGCCAGTGTAGTTTTGAATAAAATAATCAGGATGTAATTAAGTGAAGGCTATTGTGAATGCTGATACAACCAAACAAGGCTAAGAGTCTACACTCATGCTAACAGCTGTGAGATGCTGTACTCAGGCATATTGATGCTTTAGGTAGGTAGGTAGGTAGCAGTGACGTGCGGTCAGGGGAGGCAGGTGAGGCAGAGCCTCCCCTGTCAATCTTGAAAAGAAAAAAAAAAGTTAACCATAAAATATAATAAATGTTAATATTTGTCGGCTGGTGTGTGTTGTAGGCCCTTTTGCCGTTTGAATCCGATGTTGAAGGAATTTTTTTCAATAAAGAATAGCAGATTTTTCGTATGTCCCGTTCAAATACATGGAGGAGATGCGCGATGAGGCAGCACTTTGCTGTGCCTCTCGGTGGATCGTGTAAACCTCACAAACTGTATGTGATGCAAATAGTGTCGCTGTCCCGTCTATATATATCGTAAATAAAATGCTTTCAAACCCTCTGATTATATGCTCTGTCTTGCCATAATCTGGATAATGTATAAAATATAGTTCTGTAACATGTTTAGGCTCGCAGATTAACCATAAAACCCAGTAAAAAAGTTACTCGGTGAGGCAAACAGTACGCCTGCCTCAAGGCAGAGGGCGCTAGTGAGCCCACAGATTCTTGCGCTACCTACAATCTTCTTCGTGCTTGTTTATATTTCCTTTACAATCCGCCTTATCAAAATGGAAGATTACATTTTGATAAGGCGCACAAACTGTATGTGATGCAAATAGTGTCGCTGTCCCGTCTATATATATCGTAAATAAAATGCTTTCAAACCCTCTGATTATATGCTCTGTCTTGCCATAATCTGGATAATGTATAAAATATAGTTCTGTAACATGTTTAGGCTCGCAGATTAACCATAAAACCCAGTAAAAAAGTTACTCGGTGAGGCAAACAGTACGCCTGCCTCAAGGCAGAGGGCGCTAGTGAGCCCACAGATTCTTGCGCTACCTACAATCTTCTTCGTGCTTGTTTATATTTCCTTTACAATCCGCCTTATCAAAATGGAAGATTACATTTTGATAAGGCGGATGAGAATGGTCGTTGCTGGCACACTAATGTTAGCTTTTACGAACTGAGGTCTGTCTGTGTGCTGTTAATAGTCCATGCAGACGGGTGTTGGTCCACACCTGCCTCCTCCAACTTCCCCCCCAGCAGTGACGACTGGATTGTGTTGAAAGCACTAGAGAAGTCAAAGAACATGACCCTCACAATACTTCCAGGGTACTCCAGGTGAGATAGGGCTCGATGAAGCATGTAGATACAGTGGGGCATAGAAGTATTTCATACACTGCCGTTTTTTCAAGTTTTTCCACTTACAGAGAATGGACAGTTCTGTAATTTTCATCGTAGGTACACCTCAACTGTGAGTGACAGAATCTACAAAAAAAATCCCAGAAAATCACATTGTTAGATTTTGAAATAATTTATTTCCTTTTTATTGCATGAAATACGTATTTGATCACCTACCAACCAGCAAGAATCCTGGCTCTTACAGACCTGTTAGTTTGTCTTTAAGAAGCCCTCCTATCCTCCACTCATTGCCTGTATTAATTGCACCTGTTTGAACTCGTTACCTGTATAAAAGACACCTGTCCA